AAATATATATCCATCTATCTATCTATCGTCTACCTATCTATCTATCTATCGTCTACCTATCTATCTATCTATCTGTCTGTTCAAGTCATATGTATGTATGTATGTATGTATGTATGTATGTATGTATATATATATATATATATATATTATATATATATGAGTATGTATGTATGTAGGTAGGTATATCTATATATGCGTGTATGTATCTATATTTATGTATGTATATATATCTATATATATCTATATATATATATATATATATATATATTCGCTGTGCCACTACTACCCGTCTTGTGGCATGATACACTTGTCTTGTAGACGGTCTGCGAGAAGTGCTTGAAATTACACACTGACACGGAGCTGCCGCATAGGAAATGTTGTAGATTTGCAAGGATTGTTCATGGTAGACGATCATACCAGTGATAAAACCGGAGATAAAATCATAATATATATTTGAGAATGAAGCACGTATAACGATAGCATGATATGCGCTCGGGCCTACTTATATTCTTCTCTCCGTCCATTCACCGCTACGACAGATTTGCAAAGGTTTGAAGTGGTGGAAGAGCCGCGTCAAGCGCAAAAGCTTACACGGCGCCTCGAACGAAGACGCCGATGTGACTGTGGAAGGGCTTATCAAATTTGTGGAGGATATCGCCAGAATACACTAATCCGCATACCTGCATTCTAAGCTGCGTATGATGCAGTAGTACAACAGGATCTTCTGCGTTTATCTACTTGCAGTGGAAATCGCGCATTTTGTGTGGCTCGAGATTCATCTTTTGGACCGGATAGGTGCTCCTCGTTAATACGCATACAGAATGGTGAAGTGACTTGGATATATGCCTGCGTTAGAACCGCAGGTGTCGCACGCTTCTTGTAGGGCAGAACCGGCCTAAAACCCACATCTCGATCACCATGTGTGGGGAACCTGGTGCAAGTGAAGTGATTGGATACCGTGCGGAAGTCATGCATTTCAAGCTACATCATATGGAGATACACGCACGTCGGTTGCAAACCACGGACGGGGCGTTGTGCACAGATAAGCTGGCGATATTTGTCTAAGTTGCGCCTTGTTTTGAACTGTATTTAATGCAGTGATAGGATCGAAGTTTTGCTTCTCTGCTATACAAAGCGGCTAATTTGGCCTGTGATTACACCGATACAGTAACATGTGCCGCACAACCATTGTACACTTCACAAGCGGCAGGCATGGTTCGAAGAGTTGCTCGTCTGCCATGGGTATCAACTGCTCTGGCGGCTCGGAAGAGTTTAATGACGTATAGGCTACACTACTGAGCGCTCGAGATCGTTTGTCGTGTGCGTGTACGGGGCACGAGTAAATGCCAAAGGTGTTCGATTATAACGACATAGACAGCCGAAACGCATATCGTCACCGGCAAACATTGCGACGACCTTCAAAAGCCCCACGTTGTGCAAGTTTATGGAAAGCGGTTATGTGAAATCAGTCGCATGTAATATCTTCAGCTCAAAGTCAGCAAATAAATTAGTAAATACTTCAAAGTAGAAAGCGTTTCGGTACAATATTAGATTCAGGAAATGTTTACCTTATCCGAGTTGCTTGCGATTGTTGGTAACATATCTATTCAGCAGTTGTCCTGTGTAGATTATACAGGCTTATCCGAGTATTCGCAAGCCTTGCGCATATAAATACGCGTTGTATATATTATATTTATCATCAATTACCAGTCCGAATGTTAAACCTACCTTTATTTTTAAACGTCTCTTAAGCACAATCATACAATGTTATTGAAACCTCGGAACTATACATAAGCATAAGAACATTTTTCGATCGAGCCTGTGCCCTTTATATCATATAAACGATGGAGCCCACTCAACTACTAAACCCATTCAATTGCTATCATTTCTCTGCGCTACATATACGCATTCCTGATTCCCATTTATTTTAAAGCAATTGTTGTAAAGACAATTTATCCGACCGTGTTTCTAAGTTGTGAACTACGTCCAGCTTTGAAGCTCCATAAAACATCGAAAACGGCATGGAGGTAGATGTAGACCACCGGCAAGTTTTATACTCAGGTGCACAGCGAGGCCTACTGCACTGGAAGTCATATTCTCACGGTAAATAACCGCAGAACTAATTTAAAATATCAAAATGTATACACAATCACAATGGAACGAAATGGAGCGTAACTGCTGTAGTCAAATTCTACTCGTCCAGCCGAGTGCATGTCGGAAAACGATTGTGTGCCGTTTCGTTACCAGATCTCATTGTGCGGTCTCAAGTATGATTTCATTGAGTATCCGATTCAAGTGGGGCATTGACACCGGGACTTATATATGGGCACCTCCATGGATGTTAGGTTGCACATCAGCAGTCGATAAAGTATACACTGTGTGTTCACACCAGTAAGGATAGAGTGCACTTTCGGACTTTGGATACGTTTCTTCAGTATGATGCACACCCTCTATAAAGTGACAACCAAGGGAGACATCCAGGAAGTGGCCAAGTTGCTGGATGAGGGCCGTGATGTCAACGAGATCTTCGACGTAAGCCCGGCATTCTAACATGGCATGAATCATCTATCTGTTGACTAGTATGCTTCTAAAGATATCAGACTGGTTCAAAAGGAGCGTTCTTTCTCTTATTATTTCAACCCCACCATTACACTATAGGGCGGAGAAACAGCTTTGCATGGTGCTGCAGGATTTGGTAATACACAAGCAAGCGAGCTTCTGTTGGATCGAGGCGCAGATCCGAACATCAGAGATGTGGTCAGTATTTAAACTTCATTTAATTGTATCTAAAGGCTGTACACATATCTATCTACCTTGCTTTTTAGTACATCCAATATCTACCTCATGCAAGCGTTCTGCAATAGCAATTTGGAGCTGTCGTGCATAGAAAACGGTCACTGACTAAAAAAAACCAACCCGATGCGCTGTCCCTGGACACTGTAGAGCTTGATAAACAAATCATCAACATCTGTATACTGTATTGCTGGACTACATCCGTACAAAGCATTGCTGGGAATACCTTCGTGCGAATTGCAAGTGTAGGTTGGACTCATAATTCTTCGATGTCGTTGCTTACGACAGCGAACACAATCGTACCAAAAACAGACTTGATTGATTATATGTCAATATTTATCGTAGTTTGCCTGTGTTTGATCACTTTCGAATAGAATGGATGGACACCGTTGCACCATGCAGTTGAGGCTGGTAGTACGACGTTGGTACAGATGCTCTTAAGTCGCGGCGCAGCAATCAACGTACAAGATCAGGTAAGAAGTGTTAATGTGCAGGTTAGAATAAATGATAGTAACTATAATACAGGGGAATACTACCATATGAAGATTTATGAAACGCATCTGTTAGTTATGGTCTCAGTAAGGTGTGTGCACCATTTTTAAAGGCATCTTAGATACAGCTCCACCGTCAGACCACCCATTCTACAATGACGTGACACCGCGACACCGCATTTGGCAGCAAGCCGCTCGTACATAAGTTCGCTTGCTGCAAAATGGGGCCGAATGCGCATAAAATTCCCAACATGCGTTGCATCTATACGCATACCAGTGACCGTGTTGTGGTCGTGTTCGATTGGAATTGCAAGTCACGTATTTGTTTGCTGCATGGCAGATATACATACTTTGAGTAATTCAGAGGGCATTTCACAATTTGGCCCGCGTACAATTCCATATATGGTGCTCCCAAGAGAAACAATCGATAACACTTTCGAGAGAGCCTTGCATAAATACATATCCGTTGTTCAATTGACAAGGTTAAACATAGCCATAGCCTTGTAATTCAACAACATTGCCAATGTTTATCTACAATGCTGTACAGAACCATAGCCTTCGCGAAATGTTCAACCAGAAGCACTCGCGTAAATACTCGTACGCCATCCCTGTAGTATATTATCGATTGCATCTGATAGCACAGCAAGCTAGGACACGTACGCTATAGTCCCAACAAACCTGCAACGTCCACCATGTTTTGCCTTCCATATAAAGTACCATCAGGGGACCCTGTACTGTCTGTATAGGGTTCAGTGCGCAAACCTGGGTGAATATACGCTATCTGAACTCAGTAGACCACTGTCCTTCGTCATCACTCGAGAAAGTGTATTGTGATGCTACTATAGACTGTGTATCTGAATTCAACAGCCTACAGAGTCCCTACATTACCATGCACGGTAGCTGCTACCAGAGATTGTCTAGTCAGACTAGCAGACTCATCCTTCAGGACGGCACGTAGTGTAGCTCATGTTGTCAAGTGGCGTTCAAACGTATACAGTCCAAACGTTCTATGTGCAGAGCCAGCCAGAGAACAAATATGTATGAACAAGCACTCGCACACGCATGTCTAACGTTAGCTATTCAATGCGTTTATAAAAGCTGGGGAATACGCCGTTGCACATCGCGGTAGCCGATCTTCAGTACCCAATGGAAAACCAAGTGGAAGCATTGCTCAAACACGGAGCCAGCGTGGACATCCGCAATAGGGTAACGTACTAGTTTGTCTTTAAAGACTCCCATTTGTACCCGAAACGTTGTCCTGTGTGTATTAAACTTGACTTGAGTACATGTACGGACACTTTTTTGTCTGATGTAGAAGGCTATGACTGTTTAGTATATATGTGTACCCGTATAGTGTAGTGCTTGATCTCGTACTGTAACTCGCATGAAATTTTTATAAACTTCACACATAAAAGGATGTGAATACATGTCGCATACACACACTCGCACCACCTCACGTACTCTCTAGGATGGAGAAACTCCATTGGATATGGCAGACAAACACAACCACGAGACAAGCGTACAGATGATGTTGAAAGCCAGTGAGTCTCGTGCTCGTCAAGCCGCCCAAGACAAAGCTACGCAGCTGGAGGTAAGTATAAGGGCTGCGCATTAACATGTCTGTGCGCCACTTTGTGATCATGTTCTTTGTAGTGGTGGGTGTATATTGCCTAAATTTGAGATGGTGGGTGATCGTTGTTGTGAAAATGGGAAGTGTGCGCCGCGTGTGTATATACAGCATGGCCTAGATAAGTGTCAACTGCACGGAGCCCGTTCAACATTAGCAGGGTAGCCCCCGAGGTTTCCTGTTTAAGTCTGTACGTTCACAGCACTGTGTGCAAGCTAACCCGTTGGGCCACTATTGAATGCTATCGCATAAATGCACTCGCATATAGCGTTTTCCTAGCATGCGGATATGCTCTCGTACACCCAGTACCTAATATCGTACTGCACCAGTACAATACAATCCAACATGCGCTCATCACATGACTACGCCAAACTACATGCTCAGAGCACTCAGGGTGTTGGCCTGCTGGAGCCCACAACGAACTCAATCGGTGCACCGCCTACTGAAGCTATGCAGCCCCAGGGTAGTGTGGAACCAGAAAACCCTTCTATACCTACTTCTATACCTACTGAGATGGTTATGGATGGTGGAGGTAGTATACTAGGCAACACGAAGCCTGCAGACGAAACTATACTTCATACAGCCGAGCCTGCTTCCCAGGTACGTGTTAGCTATGTACATTCAGGCTTTGTGGTTGTATGGTTGCTTTTTTCGAACGTCATTATTTATTTCTTCTACTACATTCACTATCTCAGTTGGGACATCAGCTGCGAGCAATTTTTTTCGAATGGTCGTATGTGTTGAACTTAAACTAACATCACACTCGCAACATTCACAGGCACAGTAAGACTCGACGGCTAATGACAATGCCCCTTTCCAAAAAGTGTCCTTTGAGGCAACAATCTTCTCAGGAAGACCATCACTCGGATAACGGACAGGGCATTTATCGTCACCATGGCAACGGGGAGCATCTTCAGCAACCCACGGTTTTGTGTAGCTCTTACAAGGGCGATGAGTATACACACGCGGAGAAGTCTGACACAGGTGCCGTCAGTGCTGGTAAACCAGAGCACCAACATCAGCATGGTGGTGCGTGCAAGGCTGGTTGTGAGTGTACCAAACATAACGAAAGTGGGCATGCTGACAAGGGAACGGATCATCAGTATCAGATTGATGAAAGGGTGGCCGCCGACGGTGGCCCTCAGCGCGAGTATGATGCGCATGGTGATGTTGGTGCAGATCGCCATAGCAACGATCGTTCCCAAGGGAACCACCGCCAACACAGCCATGACCGCAGCCAAGGATATGGACATCGTTCCACAAATACCGACAGCGAGGCAGGATCCACATCTAAGAGACCTCGTGACGGAGGAATGGTTCAGGATGTACATCGTCAGCCTGACAGCGTTCGAGAGGGTGAGCACACGTATGACAACATACATGATCGTGCACGCTACACGCATCAGTCCGGACGCGCACACGGATACGAACGTCATCATAGCACGGAGGATGCTGGTGATGCGCAGGCACATGGTGAAGGTGCCTTTCACCATGGCCACCACAGAGAGTCTCAGGCAAGTGCACGTGCACATCAGCACAGCACCGGATTCCCTATCAGCGAGGCTACGAGAACTAGCGGACCGGCTGTGGCTACGAAGGTGTGTGCAAATACGTTTCCTATCACTTTGTGGTCTTGGTTGGTCCTCCTAGAAAACAGGAATAAATAGTCTTGATTCTGCTGATGACTGATGTTGAATGTGTGTATACTTGCAACGTTTGATTGCTGGTTTGTTTACCTCATGGGACTGACATCTCCCCATCGCCAACCTCTCATCGGTGTTTTTGTTTTGTTTTGTTTTTTGTGTCGAACAGATGTGTGGTGGTTTTGTGATGAAATAGATGATTATAAGAGCACTCACGACAGTATATTTTCATTCTGTAGCGTGCTCACTCGTCGCCAATTGTAAGTCTCGCGACTTCCGAGGGAGAAAGCTCTGAACCGGTCCAAGATTTCGGTGCGGGTACGAAGCGCCATGCGGCTGATGAGGTGAGTACGTTCTTAATGCCTAACGTTTTAATGCGTTGCATTATAGCGTACAGAGATGGGATAATTGAATATCGCCGAAGCTGTGTAGACCAGCAACGTAGCTGCGGAAACAATACATTTGACACACCCCAACTGGCCACGTATCTTCATCACGGAGGTAAACATGGATACTCTACGGGACATACTCTCGTCGTTATAGACAATGTCTGTCCATACGGTGAATACACTTGCAGTGGTGTGCCTGGCCTTTTGCCATGTACTTCGCAACAACCAGACTGCATGCATGCACATTTATTGTGAACCCAGATTGCAAAGTAACATCTTCCCCGAACATCTTTGACGCAGTTCCGGATTTAAGCTCGAAAATCTTACGCATGCCCAGAACTATTCTTCTCCGTGATTTGCTTGATATGCTATTTAGATACTTCTCTCAATGGTACGGATTTACCTACCAGGAGATCTTAACAACACGAGTACGCCGCGGCGAGCCATTGCACCATGATCAGTTGAAGCGCCGTCGCCCCGACACGGTTCTGCACACTCCTGCTTTACAGGTACGTTACATAGCAAAGTACACTTGCTTTACCACATGTGAGATAGAGGAGTTATATGGGCGTACACGATTATTATTATGGAGGTACAGGCAAGTGATCGATCTCAACTATTGGGGTCTTATTGTAGCCAGTATGCACCGTGTGTGTGTTTTTCAACTTTCTTCGTACATTTGCAAGCAGGAGGACACGATCTTGGATAGAGTGATGGAGGAAAATGCCGAGCTGACTGATCATAATGCCGGGCTGATTAGTCAAATTGTCAAGCTGAAGGTACTTTGTGTAGAGATGTACGTCAATACATAAAGTACCGGCATATTTACACTCACAATTTTGTTTGGAGGCATTTCATTAGTTGCGCTTTTGATGTGTCTTGACGATATATTATGCAGTCATTATGCAACCTTGAAGAAGGCGCACGCGCATCATGGCTTTTGTCTAATTTGGAAGCCGGCGTACTCTATTTGTCAGCTAAAATTCTAACTGAGTAGCACGGACTTAAGGTCTCCTACCATTCTCATATCATTTCGACAAACCATCGTGGTATATTGCAATATACACCCTTGGCACATCATTCCAACCAAGCTATGCGCTCGCCCATGACGCACAGGCGGACAGAGAATTCCTGGAACAAAGAATTCAAGCTCTCGAAGCCACGCAGAAGTCCACAGTCCACAGGCAGAGCAAAGCGGAGAAGAAATTGAAAATAATGAAACGTAAGATAGCTGAGATGCTCATCATCGTGAACTAAACCCCATATTTCGATGCGACAAGGTGCTCTATTCTGGTGCATACCGCCCGTAGTGGCCGCCGTGTGTGTTTGGTTGCGCCGTACAAGCTGACGTGGACGTGTATGTTGCAACGAGCGCCTAAACTTTGACACGACCTATGTTGAACAGATCTGATATATTGCCAATAAAGGGAAGGCATGTACTACGCCGGGTATTTGCATGTGTTGTTTTACCGTGATTTTATGTGATTGGAGTATGCCCGCATACCTCAAATAGATCCCAAATCATTCGTCTCTGCCTCTTGGGATAGAACATATAGGAAAATGGGACCGAATATGGTCTTCGAGGGCATATCCGATACCGGAATTAGTATCGTGCTCATGGCACGCACTCCATCTGAATGGTATTGATTGCTTTAATTGATCATTTTAATCTAAGAACGCGACTATGCACCCTTGACCTCATAATCAAATAAACTCGTTATTTACTTCTTTCAATCCCTTCATGGTATCGGAGATATACGTTTCTGCCGGTCGCAGAACGGCAAGTATTTATTCATTTGTTCGAAACAAACTACAGTTTGGCGGTTTGCATTGAACGCCACACTGTCAAACAACTGACGTCTAACAGCCTTTGTTTTTCAAGGAGGCTATGGCGCTATGCCACGTATTTATTCACTATTGTAATATTTACCAACACTGGTAGAGAGGTCTGAGGGAGGGGATTTACATCTATTTATTTATTTTTTAAATATTTTTCATAGCCTTCTGAAAATAGAACATATTTTTACAAATATTGTTCAAGAGGCTATGAAATATACAATAAACCATAGCCTACAACCTCTCTGAGTCTCTCTCTAAAGAGAGGGAGAGAGATAAAATCAGACATGAATAAAAAATACACCTTTTTTTTAATATAAAATACAGTCTAATTATAATTTCGGCCTACGCCCGGCTCCAGTAGTAGTAGGCTACCAAAGAGCAGAGTAGGGCCTAGGCTACTACATTGAGTACAATCTACTGTTAAAAAATTAAATATCCAAAAATAAATATACTCTGTCGACTTCATAAATAGTAAACTTCTAGTTTACTATTTATGATGATGTATACTATGTACAATCTACATAGTTACTGGATCAGGATTAGACGTCTCTCTGATCATGAGTGATGAGAGTGTATTATAACAGTTTGAGACTCTATGTACTACTCTACTCTTTATTTAGACACTAGTTTTGACTTTTCTTGGGCGGTTATGCCTAAGGCGGTGTATTCGGATGTGCTACTTTGGTTTAGGCCCCCCCTTTTTGGGACTTCGAGTGCATTTGTGACTTTTAACTTCAGGTGTATTTTCGACATATATGGTCCTATTTTGGACTGCCACACTCAAGAATATACATAAAATATTGACAAAGTTCTGAGTTCGGTATTCAAAACTGATATTTTGGGCGAATTTATTCTATTTTTTAGGAATTGCATTCATATTGGCTTCATCTTGGCTTCAAATTGGCTTTGAATTGGCTTTATATTGGCTTTTAGTTGGCTGCATAATGGCTTTTAGTTGGCTGCATAATGGCTTTTAGTTGGCTGCATATTGGCTTTTAGTTGGCTGCATATTGGCTTTTAGTTGGCTTCGAATTGAGAAAACGTACTTATTGTGACTAAAAACCATGGCTTACTATGTGCAGACTACTACATACTACTACTAGTAAATAGTAATCGAGAGTAGAGACTAGTAGTAAAGACCTGAGAGTATGAGACTAGTTGTCAGTTGAGCCTGAGATGTACTGGATTTGGGGTCTCTCTGATCGTGATGAAACTCTGTCTCCTATTTACCCTACTCTCTATTTTGGATTCTCTCTGGAGTCTGGATTCTGAATTCTCTCTAGTCTCTATTGGCAATAGTAGAGTGTACTAGTAGTAGTAGTAGTATTGTAGTAGAGATTATTAGAGAGACTAGTAGTAGAGTCCTGAGAGCCTGAGACAGAAATGGGTTCAAGATTTCTCACATACATAAGACACTGACCAGTGACCAAAGCTTGTACATAGTATTTACATACATAGTTACATGTAATTGTGTATTACTATTTATCTATTTTTAAAAATAAATATTTAGAGAAATAGACAGAGATCAGAGAGGGCGGGGCCCGGCCGCCCGGGGGCAGTGTGCCGGTGAGCCTGTGAGGCCACAAAGGGGCGAGGGCTGAGGGCTCGAGCCTGGAGGCCCTATTGAGGTCTGAGATGACCGGGTACGTGCTTGTGATTGGTGTAAACAACCCCTATAGGAGCATCATTTTACAGAATTTTGTTTCTTTTGTTTTTAAATAATATATATATATACATATTTAGAATTTGGGGGGTTTTTTTAAAATTATACATCATAAATGCCATACTGTACTTTACAGAATTTTGTTTTTGTTTTACAAAATATATATATATATATATATAGAATTTTGTTGTTTTTTAAAACAAATATACATCATACTTACTTACATAGCCTATGAAGATGTTCAATTTTCAGAAGGCTTTTATGCATAAATAATGACTGTTGTATATGTTGTTGTTTTTTACAACAAAATATTTTTCAAAAATAACTTTTTAAAAAGATTTGTTTTATTTAAAAACGTTTATACAGCTTGTTAATTTATCGGCTATTTTATGTCTGTATATCCTTTTTACATACACCTGTAAATGTAAAAAATTATCTATAAAATATAAACGTTTACTTCACAAGTTCACATGGCTAGCGGAAAGCGTTAAGTTTCTGAAAATGAGAAAATAAATAGCTCGGCCTTTTCCGCCTCGTGAGTTGTGACGCGAGTGCTCGTGAAGTCGAGAGTCGTGACTCGTGTCTCGTCAGTTAAAAATAAAAATATGATAATTTATAGGGGCGGCTGTGGGAAGACTCAGTTCTCAAGACTGGGAACACGCGACACATCCTGGAAACTTAAAAAAAAGTTATTTCTTGTTTAGCGTGCTTGAGCTGTCGTGAGGCCGTTTGAGCGAGAATCTAAGTATATAAATATATATACTTACGTTGCATTAAGATTCATATACTTCGCTTCTCTCACAACAGTTCATTTAACCCCCAAATCGAAATCGTGAAAATGAATACGCCTCGCCATACCGCACCCGCTTCATTCCTATCTTACCCCAAGTTTGCTTTCTTCTACGTACTGCTGGTGTTAGGAGCTGAGGCAAATCCAGCTCGTCGTCAGGAAGGGGAATCAGAGCCTATTGTGGGCCAAACTCCATTCCTTGTCACAGGTATGTATACCTAGTGCAAAGCTACTTCGTGTAGAATTACACATCTTTTGAATTGTTCTGCTATTGCTATTCGATTTTGGTCATATTTAAATTTGTGGCTTCCGTGACACCTTATCATTGCTGGTGACTAGTTTCGTTGTATATACAGTGAGTGGCGCTCTACGACACGTGGCGGGACCGATGTACTTGCGTGCTGCTAAGCCTTTCACTATGAATACTCTGTTCGATTCCTTGGATTCCGGTTGACTACGAAGATGATATTTGCGCTCTATTCACCCCTCACACTATACGTTTTACGTCTACCACTTGCTATCAGATTACAACGAGACTACTGACTACTTCCCGAACAAGGTCTACGCCAACCACTCGGAGTTCTGGGATGTTGAGTACCATAACAGTTACAAGATTGCTACTGACTATATAGGCAACTTCACATATGTTTTGTACCAGCGCGGAACTCCGATCCCGGAGGAGGCGAGTTTAAATCTCGCCCCCTCCACGTTCGTCTCTTTCATGCCAATCCCTGTGGCTACTATGACTATAGACGAAACAATCCCCATGCACATGATTGAAGTGTTGGGTCAAATCAATAACATCAAATACTCCGATAACGCAACATTTGGGTATGCCACAAGCCCTTGCTTGCAAAAGCTGGGTGAGAACGTGAATCTGACTCTCTCATCTGATCCCGAGCTGAGAGAAATCCAGACCCAGGTATGTGTAGTATCAATCATTATATTTCACATTGTTGACGCCTTCAAGTGGGCTTGTTGCCTACGCTAGCATCCTGAACAATGTCTATAGTTGGTATTATGTTTATTCGATCGTATACCCATTGATCCTTCGCTTTCTCTCGCGCTAATTCTCATTGGATTCATTCTGATTTCCTCCATTTTCAAACAGTCCACCGATATCCATATCGCTTCCATATACACGTCGCCCAATGTCTCTGAGAACACGTACTACGCAAGTTCTATCAGTTCGGACCCAGGAGCTTTGCATCGTGCCGAATGGATCGAATTCTTGTCACTGCCTTTTAACTTAGAGGCTGTGGCATCGGAAAGTTTCAACATGGTTGAAACCAACTACAACAACTACAAGGAGGAGATGCTGCAGGTGGCTGAGACCAAACCCGTCATTGCCTGGATCAGCACATACACTTACTATGGCCCCAGAGAATACATTATCTTTGATTCCGATTACAAGGTATTTAGAATTGTTTAATATCTCGAGCTTAGGTAGTATTTTCCGTTTATCCGGAGTAGCGTTAGTTGTGCTATACTAACGGGGGTCTCAGCTGAAATTTGTATCTCTTTTTTTCTGTTTCAGCATCTCATTTGTCGTCTTGTAACCCGCACTGACTCTTTCCTCTTTTTTGGATCCAATTTTAGCTGGAGTATATCTTTGCTGCACAAGCCTCCGCTGTTGCAGCGGGCCAGTTTAACGAGACGACCGAGGGTGATTTCCATGATCTTCTCAAGCTGGCGGATATTGTCATCGATGAGGCCTACATAGCCGGCGGCGAACAGAAGGATATTCAGTGGTTCATGGATTCATATGGTATCGCTGAAGAGAATGCTATGGATTACAAGTTCTTGTCTACTTCACCCGCCAGTGTCTTCGATGTTATGGGTCGTCAAAGTGACTCCTTCGGTCTAGGTACGCGATAGTCAACGATCTGTATACCTGTGTACCTATATTTTTCACCCGCGGACGTTTGCGGTATGCCATATTCACTCAAACAGTCTACACATTTATTTAAGAGTACTATTTGAATTGAGACACTGATCCTTTTGTATCGTTTACCATTTTCCATCTCACCATAGATTGGTATGAAGGTGCCGTTTACCGTGCCGATGAGGTGCTTCTAGATGTGATCAGTGCCGCCCATCCGCAATCTCGCCTTGGTGCCAACCACAACCGTACTTGGCTCAAGCGCACGGAGGATGAGACACCTGTCATCGTCTCAGCCGCAGACTGCCAGGTTTTGATTGATTCGAGAAATTTCGATTGAGACGAGGCTGTGGGCCATTGAGGCATGTGTGTTTTCTGGTTTCTTAGTTTCGCAATTATATTTAAAATTGCAAAGTTTGGTATTCAATTTTAAATATAAATTGAATGCAAATGCTATGGATCTCTACTGAACACAAGTTTTTATGCCTCATTGTATGTTGCAAGCAAGTCTAAATGATTATACCTACGTGGGTATGTGTGAAGACTCTGTTTTATTCTTTTGTAGAATTTCAATAAAACATGTGCATACTCCAAATAAGCCACGAATACTGATCAATCTGGTGAAGGGTATGTTGAAATAAGCCTAAATCGATAGGCTGGTCATTGTAAAAAAAACATCGACTGGTATATATCGATTATGGCTTGCTTCATCTGCAATATTATGCAACCCGCTATGTTCAATACGTGCATGCAATATCTTTGTATTCACCTTGTGCACGCGCTATCGAAACAGGGCATGGTTGTAGCTATAATGTATATTCATCGACTTCTCTATATACGCAGGTAGAAATACTTGTTCAGCGCTACGATTAACCTTGTAATGTTTGTTCAGCCCTCGCTACAAATAAACATACAGAAATATCTATACAGCGCGACATGACAGAACAATCGCAATATTCGCAAGTGTAAACATCCAGAAATGAAACACAACACACTTTCATCAAGTAGACACTTCCACTACGCTACACATGCAGTATATGTTGCTTTCATATCCTTCTGAATTCCTCCAAACATGTGTGTAATCGTACGTGATGCTTCTATTTGCATGCATCAAAAATGACATGCTCCTAGTTTACAGATAGGATACATAGACTGCTTATATAAATTTTACTTAGTACTGACTCCAGCGATATAGCAATAAACGAACATTAAAAGTCTGTCAGCAGATACATTTCTGCCGCACGTTCCGACTGTAGTATGTATGGTTCATACTGCCGCGCAACCTGGTAGCACCTTTAGTATAACAAGGTGCTGCGTGTCGGCCACAGGTGTCCCGACTTGGCTTTTGCACAGAAATTGTCCAGACGTTGTCGCCAGTACAGTTTGACTATGCCTAATGATCTTTCCGGCCATAACTTCTAGGATGAAACCGCGTTAGGTGAACTGGCTGGGTTTGGTGGCCACCTCCTCGCAAGGATTCGTGTACTATGACAATATTATTATTTTTCACTCCCCAGAAGTCATCAATACAGCTGTCGTGCTCTACCAGAAGTATCCAAGATAGCCATTAACGTATATATCAGGTTGTTTGTGGTTTCAGGCTCTCCAGTTATCAGGCTACTCAACCTTCTGATATCGCACTACTTGGCTTGGACTGCCATCACATCTCTCGAATTTTTTAGTATCGAAATCGTAGCATTCGCTACCATCCTTCAAAGATGTGGTACCTTCCCATAATGAGCGAGCTATTCCGCAGGGAATCCATTGCAGTGTCCTGTACGTGCGACAGTTGTATGTAGAAGTTAGCTTTATGGATATGTTTTGTGCTGCTAACGTATGCAGTAGTATTTTTAAATCAATCGACGTCGCGTATTCACGAATCTGAGAACCATCTCCGACGAACTATATAGTAAGTCGAGACAAATGAACTTACTTGTCACTGGAATAGAACAGACAATAATTTGGGTATGGATTGCTGATTAGATTCCCATTGGACGGACCCTGGGTAGTAATGGCCTCGAACCCTGCACACTGGTCTACTTGGATTGCGTAGTAGAAGTTCGTACCAGGGACTGGAAACGTAGAACGCAATTGCGAAGAAGAAAGATATATGTCAGCGCATACTCTGTGCTGAGATACCGTGGAGTTTCATCGCATTGTGCGGTACAATAGCTTATATATGTGTACGCCAGGAGATTAACTGACATAATTACAATAAGAAATGAAATGCATATAAATATGTATACATGTACAGAAAGGAATATAGATATAAACAAAAATGCATATATATAAGTATGAGAATAACTGACGTATTTACAATACAAAATGAATAACATATAAATAGGAATACACGTAAAAATATATGTACATATATATATATTATGTAAATACATACTCTGCATATATATCTATATCTAAATATATATATATATATATAATAGAAAGAAATATATGTATACTAGACAGAAATAACTGTAATAAAATATATAATAC